TTTTTCCCTTCCTTCTACTGACTTTATTATTTTAAAAATAATTCTTTATTTAATTTTATGTATTTATTATTACTTGTTAATTTGCTAGAGAGAGAGACAGAAAGTGAGAAAACAATCTGCTAGGTCCAGGACTTGAACTGCATCCAGCCCTGTGGGAATCCAACACCTTAACCACTACACCACCTGCTGGTCCCTATTGAAATTATTATTAAAACTGAAAACACAAGTGCCCTTAGATTATTGCAGGTGCACGACATAATTATATGTTATTTGCCATATTGCTAACACTTAAATTACTATGCGTATATTTTAAAGTTTATTCATTCATTTCTTCTAAAAAGCAGAGACAGGCACAAGGTCCCCATGCCAAGACCCACACCCTACCCCCAGCACAAGGAGGCCTGGGGATATCATCCTTGACCCTCCCATGTGGGCCCAGCAGTGCAGAGCTCCAGGCCACTACCATGCCACAGGCCTGCCAGCTAGTAGTTTTTCAAATGTTTATTTACATATATATATATAATTTAATAGATTTTTGTACAGGATGCATGCACTCACCAGAGAAAAAGAAAGTGAGAAATCACCCCCTGGGGGGATGGCCACATCACAATCCTGTCTCCATTCTCCTCTCGACACGCACACACACACACACCCACCATGTGTGAGGTTCAAGCCTTCAGCTCTGGGCTCAAACCATGGTCAGCCATGTGGGAGTCCAGGGCCTTAACCATTATGCCACCTACTGGCCCCACCAAATTTTTTTTTTTTTGAGAGGTTTTCGCTATAGGGCGCATGTGCTCGCCAGATAGACAGAGAGAGACATAGAGACAGAAAGCAAGAAATCACCCCCCAGGGGGGATGGTCACGCCGCAATCCCTTCTCCTCCATTCTCCTCTCGGGATCTTGAGCACGCACGCACACGCGCCCGGCGTGAGTTTTAAGCCACCGGATCTGGGATGCGAACCGCGGTCGACTATGTGGGAGTCCAATGACATAGCCATTACACTAACTGCTGCTTCCCAAGACATATTTTATAGGGGCCAGCAGGTGGTGTGGTAGTTAGGGCACTAGACTCCCTCATGACTCACCATGGTTTGAGTCCCAGGCCTGGTGACTTGCTTTCTCACTTTCTCTCTGTCTCTCTCTGGTCAGTGCATATGCACTACAGCAAATTTAAAATAATAATTATTATTGGAATTAAATGGATAATTCTTTAAAAATATATAACTGGTTTCTTCCTTGCACCTCCATGTCTGTCTCCCTGCCTCTCCCCACTGTGCCTCTTCATCCCCCTCCTTTTATCTACTCAAACCTCCTTCTCTCCTCTGATAGGCCCTCTTTCTCCCTGTGTTTCTGCCTGCTTCTCCCTGGGACTCTCCCCCTCCTCTTTGTCTCTGACGTTGACAACACTATAGACAACTGAGCGAGGGATGGAGACTCATCCTTTACCTCTCAGATGCTGTCTGTCCCCTTAGGGAGATCTCTGGTTTCCCAAAGCTGGGAGAGGGTGTACAGAAGGGACCTGGGAAGGTATGGGGTCCTGGGTTGGGACCTGAGATGGCTTGTGTGAGGAAAGGAGGAGATGCTGTGGTTGGTGGGTCAAAGGTGAGATCTCTGCCAGGGTGGAGAGAATGGGCAGTCCTTGGGGCACAGACATGTGCTGACTTTGCACCCCATTCCTCGCAGCCCAGAAAGGTGTGGGGGTATGGGACAGGGGCCCTACAGGCACTTCCACCCTCCTACCAAGCCACTGGGTCTGGGACTCAAACCACAGTCAGCCGTGTGGAAAACCACCTGCTGGCCCCAGGGAGGGCGATTTTTAAAAATTATTTATTTATTTAATTCTATTTGTTATTACTTTTTTTTTTTTTTTTTAAGTTTGACCAGAGAGGGACAGAGAGGAAAAGAGAAAGTGAGAAAGCAAACCGCCAGGTCCAGGACTTGAACCACGGTCAGCCATGTGGGAATTCAGCGCCCTTAACCACCACGCCACCTGCTGGCGCCAAGAGGGTTTTTTTTAACTGGTCTCTCCACCTCTCCTTGCTCTCTATTTCAGCCTTTATCTTAACCCAGGGGAGAGCTCTGTTCTTGAACTCGTACCTTCTCTCTGGGCTTGTTCATGTTCCTATACTTATCCTAGGTCCCCATCACCAATAGCCACCTGAGGACTCGTCAAAATCCAGCCCCTTGCCCGGCTCCCACCCCTAGTCCTCTCAGTGCAGGTAAGGCCCGTGCAGGTGAAGTTTTGAAACATTTCCAGAACCACAGACAGTTCAGAATTGCTGGTGATGAGCCTTCGTTGCCTGTAGTGTTTCGCTCACCCAGCAGCTGTCCATCTGGGAAATGCAGCGAACCTCTGGGTTCTCTGCATTTCTATTCGCCTGTGCTGGTCCTTGATTCCCAGGACCTATAGCTGGCCATATCGTTCATTTAGTTAGCACCCAGCCATACCGTCTTTACGTGTTCATCTGTCTATCTGATAACTCACACTGAGCACGTCCTGCGTACAGTCACTATCCTGGGCAGCAGGGGTGCAGCAGTGAACAAGGAAGGGCTCCTCCACTTGTGGGCAAATGCATAACATGTCAGATGATGAGTCCCAGCAGGAAAGACAACAAGGTAAAAGGGAGCGCAAGCCCAACAGTAAATGCTCATTATATTTTTAAAGAATTATTTTATTGAGACCAGCAGTTGATGTAATGGCTATGTCGCTGGACTCCCATGTAGTTGACCGTGGTTCGAGTCCCGGACCCGGTGACTTAAACTCATGCCGGGCACGTGTACGTGCGTGCCCAAGATCCTGAGAGGAGAATGGAGGAGAAGGGATTGCGGTGTGGCCATCCTCCCTGTGGAGGGGGATTTCTCGTTTTCTGTCTCTCTCTGTGTTTCTGGGAGTGAACGTACCCTATAGCAAAAACCTCTCCAAAAAAAAAAAAGAATTATTTTATTGATATTATATTTATCAGCATTATTATTATTATTTAGTTTGACCAGAGAGGGAGAGTGGGAGAGAAAGCCGCCAGGTCTGGAACTTGAACCGTCATCGGCCATGTTGTAGTCTAGCACTTTAACCACCACGCCACCTGCTGGCCCCAGTGCTCATTATCAATGAGCTATGGCTGTGCCAGTCCACAATTCACCTATTTGTCTGCCTTTCCAGTTTTTTTAACAGAAGTGGCCAAAATGCCTTGAGCTCCCGCCAGGCCCAACTCTGAGCACTTCTAAGGGGACAGTAACTTGATATCCCCATAAGAACTTAAAAACATCTTCCTCCTCATCTAGTGGTGAGGAAGCTGAGGTTTAGAGAAGTTAAGCGACTTGCCCAAGGTCACAGGGGGAGATGCCAGATCTAGCCCAGGAAGTAGGCAGTTCGGCTGTAGGGACTGCTCTTCTCCACATCTGGCTCTCCTGTCTCCCCTTCCAGTTTCCTCCTCCTTGGCCTTCCAGGCCGCTGCCACCCTCTCCTCTCAGATCCCTGCCACCCTGAGCTAAAGGTGCAGATTCTCCCCACCCCATCACAGCCCATGCATTCCTGGAACACCCCTTCCTCTCTTCTCTGCCCAGAAAATTCCTGCTCATCCTTCAGATCTCTGTTTAGACATCCCTTTCTGGAGTTTCTCACCGCTCCAGAGAAGCCCAGGTGTCTCCTGGTATCCCGTTCCCGCGGTTTCTCCCATTAGAGTAACGGTCAAACTAGACTGTAATTATGTGCTCTGAGACTATGAGACTATCTCTGCCCACCGCTGTGGTCATGTCCAGCCAAAGGGTCTGTCACAGAAAACAGGAGCGGTTGGATGAATGAAGGGATGCGACTTCACAGATGGCTATCATCTGAAAGCTCAGTCGTGCCCAGCTCCTCGCTGTTCTCTCTGATGCCGTCAAAGCCCCGGGATTCAGGCAGGCCTAGAATCCCAAACCCGCTTCACAGCAGCAGGGTAAACTCCAGACAGCTGCGCTGGTAGAACCTGATTCCAACTCAGCTCCGCTGATCCCCAATCTAGAATTTAGTGCAAGGTACTGGTAAGTGGTCAGAACCGAATCCCCCAGGATCTCTCACGGAGACGGTGTCTGGCGGGGCAGACGTGGTGCTCGAACAGCTCTAGAACAAGGCGGAGTGGATCGCGGCTTGAAAAGGTGGAAGATCTGTCCATACGGAGACCAGCAGGTGTAGAGGAGCCGCATCTTCGTGCTCAGACGGTCAGGCTTCCTGGGAGACAACTATTTGGAGACTAGGTTTCTCCACACACACACAAACCCCGCCCCGCCCCGCCACCTGGGTTTAAGGGTGGCCCCGCCCCACTCAAGCTACTGTGTCAATCTAATCCAAATGGCCAATCGTAGGAGAAAAACGACCACTTCCGCGCTTCAACCGCACTTAGAGGGCGGGAAAGGCGCGGGGAGGGGAGGTGCGCTCGGCTCAGTCACGTGACTCGCCTCATTGGCGTGGGGCCGTGTCGGCGCGGAGCGGTTCGCTGACGTTCATTGGCCACAGAAAGATTGCTGGCGTAAGGCCACGCCTCCAGGCCGCCGCGCGTTTGGTTGCGCGGCTGCCGGGGAAGGAGACGCTGCCCTTCCGCAGCAATGGGACCTCGGGTGAGTGGCGGTCCCGGCCGAGCCCACCGGGTGGGCGGGCAGAGACGCAGGGTCCTGGAGAGAGGTTTCCAGCGGGCAGGGACCAGGCCTGCGCTTGGGATCCGGCGGACGCAAGTGTCCGGGCCCAGCCGGACCGTGAAGGTGGGATGAGCAGGTACCGGCGCCGAGGCGGCGCGAGAGGGTACCTTGTTTGCGGGTGGAACCTGGGACGCTGAGGAGATGCCCGGGTCTGGAACGTTGTGGGGATTGGAGCAGTGGTGGAGACACCCAAACCCGGGCTGGGAAAGTGTCCGGGATGGAAGAGCAGGTGCGCCGGCCGTGCGTGGCGTCAGAAGGTGCATGGATATTTGTCAAGGCTATTCCGGGGGTCGGGCAAGAGAGTTCGGGGCCTGACCCAAGTCTATGCAAGATCATCCTCCTATGGAATGAGCAGATTCTGAAGGCCAGGATGCGATCAGTGCAAGGGAGCCGGATGCTCAGTCTGTGGGAATGGTGAGGTGTCCAGGATGGGACGAGCAGGATACGGCAGAGGCTGCTCAGACCATTGCTGGAACCTGGGAGGGATGAGGGGGAGCTCAGACCAGAGCTGCTAGGGGGTTGTCGAGCAGGGGAGGAGTGCCCCTGTGGAAAGCGTGGACATCAGGCAGGGGGTGTTGTAACTGCAGTAGTGGGCTGGAATGAGGGGGTGTTGGGCCAGGGTGGTGGAGCAGAGGTGTCTCCAGGTGAGACCCGGCTCCACACAGCTAGGTGTCTGCATGGTGGGGGACGTGGTCGTGGGCTTGTCATTGTGGAGGAGTGGAGGCTTCTCTTAGGTCCTGGGTTGTACCGGGGGACCGGTGGGGGGGCCATGTTTCCTGCAGTGAAACAGGTTCAGAGGGCAGGTGTCGTCACCTCCCTCCTGCCCCTCTCCCTCTGGGTGGGAGCAGCAGAGCCTGCACTGGACTCTCCTGCAGGCAGACGTCAGGCCTCGGGCCCGTCATCCAGCCCGGTCTCAGGCTCGGAGCTTGGTTGGGCTCATCTTTGAAACTCCACGTGGGCTTCTCACTTGGCAGCCAGAAGTCCTCCAGGTGTAGCTTGGAGGGAGCAGTGGCCGTTGTAGCAGGCAGCTCCCCACTACGCCACCACTGCCTTGGGATCCTGCAGGGCAGGGGTCCCTTCCCAGCCTGGCCATTTTCTCAGTGACCTTGGTCGGGTTGCTCACCACCCGGAGCCTCAGTTTCCCCCATCCTTGAGATACACTGTTTCTGAGTATCTCAGAAGGGAAGGGAGCGGAAGATTCTGTGACTGGTTAGCCTTGGAGCCTTTAGTGAAAAGCCTATTGCAGCCCTGGCCTGGAGTCAGTGCTTGGGGAACCGACCGCCGCCGATCTCTGCTGTTCCTGGCTTCCCTCCTCCTGCAGCCTGAGCCCGTCTGTGGGTTGAAAGAACAGCCCCTAGTGTGAACTTGGGTCCTGACCACGGGAGGTCACATAACTCAGTGTGCAGCTCCCAGGCAGAATGTCCCCTGCCCTTGACAACACGGCAGTTTCCTGAGCCCTCACACATTCCTCAGCCCGTCCCCCACTCATACCCCGGCCCTAGAGCTAGACTGATAGGGCCCGTCCTTCCCACTCACAGGATAAGCTGTCTCTCGTGCTGGCCCAGCGACTTTGGCCTCCATCCCAGGGAGACTGGGTCTGTCCTGGCCTATGTGTTCCTTCCGCTTGAAGTCCCAGGAGACCTTGAAGAATACTGTGCTTGGTGGAGGGTGTTGGGGAGCACCCTGCTTGGGGCCTTGGGGCTTGGGGCCTAGGCTGTGTGATTATGTCACTCATTCCCTGGCCTTGGGGTGGAGCAGTGGAGGGGTGCCCTGCAGCACTTCAGGAGGAAAACTGTCCCCATAGTCTGGATCCAGCTGGCCTCTGCCACTTCCTGCTCCATGTCACGTTTAGCATGGGAGTTGCTTCAAACACAGAGGCTAGCGTCAGAGAGACCTTGGTCCACGTCCTGATCCCATTCACATGCCAGCTGTGTGACTTTGGACTCCTGACCTACCCTCTCTGCGACTCGTTTTCCTCACTGGACATTGCGGCCAGGGAGGAAGGTAAAGAGCACCCCCTTCACAGTTGCAGTGAGTCAGTGCCACAGCATGTGTCAAGAACTCAGCACAAAATCCACGTGTGACGCAGAGTCCCTGCTATTTGGGGAATACCTTGCCGCTTTCATAATGCAGTCCACAGGAAGTGAGATGTCCTTGGTTTTATGGGAGAAGAAAAGATGCCACAACTCTCAGTCCAGGGGCTGAGGTTTTGTTGAGCGAAGGCCGCAGGTTTGGAGAGGTTGGAGTATGGCCAGCCTCAGGTGTGAGCGCTACTGTCCATCTCCCATCTCCCAGGTCTGGGGCTTGTCGGGCCAGCTCACCGGAGCTGCTGCCTTCCCTGCTAGGGCTCACGGTGGGCAGAGGGGCTGTGGGCACTTGGTGCCCTGCTAGGGCTCTGTGGGAGCAGAGGGCTGGGCCTGACCTCAGCTTGCTCCTGCCTCGCCCCCAAGGGCACTCTTGTTTGCCTTTCTGTGTGCTCACGCGCGGTCATGGTCTTCTGTCTCAGCTCTGCGGAGGGACCGTCTGGCATGCACATCCCTGTCCTTTGTGGGTGTGGACAGTGGCGAGGCCCCAGCCGGAAGCCAGTTGAAGCCATCCTCCTTCGAAGCTCTCGGCCCTGAGGGCTCTTGCCTGGGTGTTGGTTGTGCCATGGCGTTCCGGAGGAGCGAGGGCATGTCCATGATCCAGGCCCTGGCGATGACGGTGGCCGAGATCCCTGTGTTCCTGTACACGACGTTCGGGCAGGTAAGGAGTGGGCTGGGCTGTAGCCCCGTCCGCCCCGCTGGTGCCTGGAGCGCTAAGCTGCCCAGCTGAGGGGCTCTTGGCCCCCAGGAAAGCGGGACCTTGCTGCAGCTCCAACCATTTGGCATCCCCTCTTTGAGCAGAGAAGACTGCGTGGGAATGAGGGACCCGAGCCCAGTCTTCGCCTCGGGGCCGTGTGAACCCTCGGTCTCAGTTTCTCAGTCTATGAAAAGGGTCAATAGTGGCTTCTCTGACAGTCTCAAATGTTCATGGCTGACCGCTTCTTGACCCTCCCTGAAGCTCTGCTCTGTGGAATGCAGGCCCTCGAGGGGCACCTGGGCAGAGGGCGAGGGGGAACACCGGGAAGTGCTCGGACTGGGCAGTCAGGTGGAGTGAGTGTCGGCATCTTTCACATGTCGTTAAGAAGTGAGCATGGGGGGGTGCCTGGAGGTGGCGTGGAGGTTAAGGGCACTGGACTCCCACAGGGCCAACCGTAGTTCAAGTCCTAGACCTGGTGGCTTTGCTTTCTTTCTCGCTCTCTCTTTCTCACTCTGTTCCTCTCTGGTCAAATTAGAATAAATAAATAAATAAAGTTAAACTAATTCTTTAAAAAAAAAAAAAAAGAAGTGAACATAAGGGGACCAGCAGATGGCGTAATGGTTACATCATTGGCCTCCCACATAGTCAACCACAGTTCAAGTCCCGGACCCAGTGGCTTAAAACTCACACTGGGCGTGTGTGCATATGTGCCCAAAATCCCAAGAGGAGAATGGATCGGTGTGGCCGTCCCCTCTGGGGACTGATTTCGCTTTCTGTCTCTCTGTCTCTCTGTCACTTTGTCTTTCCAGTGGGTGCACATGCCCTACAGTATAAACCTCTCTTTAAAAAGAAGAGAAAGACATGGCCATCAGCAGACCTGGGTTCAGTTTCCGGCTCTATGTGGTCGTGAGCATGTGTTTTCACTTGTGTGAGCCTCACATGCCTTCTCTGAACATTGCTGAGGTCAGACAGGTGACACGGGCCCTGCGGTCCTGGGGCAGGCCTGGCATAGCAGGGCCCAGCACTGCACAGTTCTCATCGTGACGAACAGTGACAGGGACACCTGCTCGCCCCAGACCTCATCTCCCGGGCGCCGGCATCTGGTCTGGTTCATATCTTTGTGGTCCACATTTCAGAGAGGCCGGTCTGGTCCCCTCTGCCTGCCTCCCAGTCACCCACCTGGTCAACAGATGCACACGGTGTCCCGGGGGCATGTCCTGCTCCCCAGGTGCCCTCAGGTCTTCCCAGGGAGATGTAACCTTGCTACCTGTTCTCTCCTGCAGTCTGCATTCTCGCAGCTGCGCTTAACGCCAGGCCTGCGCAAGGTCCTCTTTGCCACGGCCCTGGGGACTGTGGCCTTAGCCCTGGCCGCCCACCAGCTGAAGAGACGACGACGGAGGAAGAAGCAGGTCGGCCCCGAGCTGGGAGGTGAACAGCCAGCCACGGTGCCCCTCCCCATCCTCATGGCCAGGAAGGTCCCATCAGTGAAGAAAGGTAGGTGTAAGTGGTGGGCACGGGCCTGGCTGAGGTCACGCCCCGGTCTCTGTAACTGATCTTGGGCTAGCGACTCCATGTCTCAGAGCCACAGTCCCCTCATCCGTGAGTCGAGACGACAGCAGAGCCTCCTTCCCTATGTCCCTGTGAGAGCTGGCGGGTGGTGCAGCTGGATGCACGTGTCCCACTGGTGGTGGTGGCTCTGGCTGCTCTCACTGAGCTGTTCGGGAGCTCCTGGGGCCAGAGCAGACTATTGGGCAAGGCTCCTCGTTCAGGGAGGGAAGTTCCCCAGGCTCAGGACTTGGAAGGGTCACATGTCTCTTAAACCATATTATCTTCCTTCTACCCCGTTTTTGAAAAATGAAGGTGCGACTTGCACGCGGTCCAAGTTGCCCTCTTTAGTACATAATTCTATGAGCTTTGACACACGTGCGGTCGTATAATCCAACTGGGCAGTTGCCCTCTCAGTCCCCCCATGTCCCTCAGTGGTCAGCCCTCAATCCCTCCCCTCACCCTGCAGGCACGGATCTGCCTGTGGGTACCGGTGTGTGTAGGCACCCATCGGACCCCTGTAAGTCTGATCTGCCTGTGGGTACTGGTGTGGTGTGTAGGCACCCATCGGGCCCCTGTAACCCTGGAGCCCAGTGTCTGCCACTCCCAGATGTTAGATCTCCCTCTTTCCAAGCAGGAAGTGCTGGGCTCTCATCTGGGGAGAAACCTGTTTTAAGAAATGAAAGTCTCTTATAAAAATGAACTTTAATTGTGAATGGTTGTTGCAAAGGGGAGTTTTATATTCATACATATATATAAAAAAATTTTTTAGAGGTCTTTGCTATAGGGCACATGCATTTGCCAGAAAGACAGAGAGAGACAGAGAGACAGAAAGCGAGAAATCCCCCCCCAGGGAGGATGGCCATGCCACAATCCCTCCTCCTCCATTCTCCTCTCAGGATCTTGGGCATGCATGCACACATGCCCGGCATGAGTTTAAGCCACTGGGTCCAGGACCCGAACCATGGCCCACTACAGGGGAGTCCAGTGACATAGCCATTACGCTAACTGCTGGTCCCAGTATTCATGTTTTTAAAATTACTTTATTTAACTTTTTTTTGGAGAGTTTATTTATTTATTTTTTTTGCAAAAGGGCGTGTGCCCTCGCCAGAATGACAGAGAGAGAGACAGAAAGCGAGAAATCCCCCCCCAGGGAGGATGGCCATGCCACAATCCCTCCTCCTCCATTCTCCTCTCAGGATCTTGGGCATGCATGCACACATGCCCGGCATGAGTTTAAGCCACTGGGTCCAGGACCCGAACCATGGCCCACTACAGGGGAGTCCAGTGACATAGCCATTACGCTAACTGCTGGTCCCAGTATTCATGTTTTTAAAATTACTTTATTTAACTTTTTTTTGGAGAGTTTATTTATTTATTTTTTTTGCAAAAGGGCCAGGATCTTGGGCATGCATGCACACATGCCCGGCATGAGTTTAAGCCACTGGGTCCAGGACCCGAACCATGGCCCACTACAGGGGAGTCCAGTGACATAGCCATTACGCTAACTGCTGGTCCCAGTATTCATGTTTTTAAAATTACTTTATTTAACTTTTTTTTGGAGAGTTTATTTATTTATTTTTTTTGCAAAAGGGCGTGTGCACTCGCCAGAATGACAGAGAGAGAGACAGAAAGCGAGAAATCACCCCCCGGGTGGGTGGCCACACCGTAATCCCTTCTCCCCCATTCCCCTCTCGTGATCTTGGGCACACACGCACACGTGCCCGGCATGAGTTTAAGGCTCTGGGTCTGGGATTCAAACTGCAGTCGACTACGTGGGAGTCCAGCAACATAGCCATTACGCTAACTGCTGATCCCATTTTATTTAACTTTATTTATTATGATTATTATTATTTTTCAGTTTGATCAGATTGTGGGGGGAGTGAGAGAGCAAGCCGCCAGCTCCAGGACTTGAACCACAGTTGGCCATGTGGGAATCTAGTGCCTTTAACCACCACGCCACCTGCTGGTCCCAGTTTTATATTCCTGTTACTAACTGGAGAAAGAAGTCCCTGGGCTGAGATGAAGTAAGACCTGGGAAGTGCTGCAAAGCTGGGTCTGCTTTGTGTGGGCTCCTGGGAAGCCTGGAACCCCTCTGACTGGCCTCTAGCTTGCCTGCTGTCTCAGCACCATCTCTGTCACACTGTATTTTCCCTTCTCTACCCTGTCACTTTTTTAAAAAAAAAATTCTTCTGGGGGGCCAGTAGGTGGCGTAGTGGTTAAGGTGCTAGACTCCCAGGTGGCCGAGCACGGTTCGATTCCTGAACCTGGCGACTTGAAACTCATGCTGGGTGTGTGTGCATCCATGCCCAAAATCCGAAGAGGAGAATGAAGGAGAGGGATTGCAGCATGGCCATCTCCCCTGGGGGTTGATTTCTCACTTTATCTCTCTCTGTCAATAGCAAAAAAACAAAGAACAACAAAAAATCCCTTTGTATATTTAAAAGAGTTGTTGCCCCAAATCCCTTTGGAAGGAGGAGTGTTCTGAATCAGCAACATGGGGAAGCTGAATGAGGCAACTAGGTATTATGAAAAAAAGGCATGGATTTCAAGTACTCTAAGGTATGACACTTTGTGACTTCTGAGGTCAGGTCATTAAAGGCAATACAGTTATTTTTATGCTTGGGACCCACCACAGAGCAGTGAGGAAGCCCAAGCCACTCATTTAGGTAGACCTAAAAGGAGAGGAACCAGGACCCAGCCCTTTGCCCTCTTGAATTTATAGCCAGCAACCAGGCCTCTGTTCCAGACACACGAGTGAGATTTCTTAGATTGATCTTCCACCTCCCAGTTAAGTCACTTCAGCTTCCCTGAATGGAACCTTCCCTGTCAAATTCTGCCCAGATCATAAATTTATAATCAAAACGAATAGTAGTTATTCTCTAGTTACTAAGTTTTGGAGTGTGTTGTTAAGTAGTAGAGGATAACTAGAATATCTATCACTGTGTGAATATTGAAATATTTTCTTATTACTAGGGGATAGTATTTTATTGAATTATAAAATCTATCACTATAAAAGTTCTGTTCTGATTAGTGAAAGAGATTCAAGTTGTCATGTTTTATATTCTCATATTTTACATTTTATTTTATGTAATCTGAATTTACATAAGGTGAATGAATGTATTTGGGTCAAATAAATTGACTTAAATATTTTCTTTAAATAGCTATGTAGGCCCTGACACTGATAATGCTAGTGTTCTGAGGTGCTGGAAACTATATGTTAACTATGGTTCGTATCCTGGGTCAATCTGAAAAACATACCTGGTGTATGTGGGTGCTCAGAATAATGAGGAGCTAAGAGTTAAGGAAAAGGGATTGTGACATTGAGAGTGCTCCCCCAACTCTCTCTCTTTCACTCTCACGCATGCACATGCATGTGCTTTCTATCATAAAAATAGTATAGCTATGTGTCTTTTTCCTGACTTTATCTTTTTTTTGGAGAGTTTATTTATTTATTTTTTTTGCAAAAGGGCGTGTGCACTCGCCAGAATGACAGAGAGAGAGACAGAAAGCGAGAAATCACCCCCCGGGTGGGTGGCCACACCGTAATCCCTTCTCCCCCATTCCCCTCTCGTGATCTTGGGCACACACGCACACGTGCCCGGCATGAGTTTAAGGCTCTGGGTCTGGGATTCAAACTGCAGTCGACTACGTGGGAGTCCAGCAACATAGCCATTACGCTAACTGCTGATCCCATTTTATTTAACTTTATTTATTATGATTATTATTATTTTTCAGTTTGATCAGATTGTGGGGGGAGTGAGAGAGCAAGCCGCCAGCTCCAGGACTTGAACCACAGTTGGCCATGTGGGAATCTAGTGCCTTTAACCACCACGCCACCTGCTGGTCCCAGTTTTATATTCCTGTTACTAACTGGAGAAAGAAGTCCCTGGGCTGAGATGAAGTAAGACCTGGGAAGTGCTGCAAAGCTGGGTCTGCTTTGTGTGGGCTCCTGGGAAGCCTGGAACCCCTCTGACTGGCCTCTAGCTTGCCTGCTGTCTCAGCACCATCTCTGTCACACTGTATTTTCCCTTCTCTACCCTGTCACTTTTTTAAAAAAAAAATTCTTCTGGGGGGCCAGTAGGTGGCGTAGTGGTTAAGGTGCTAGACTCCCAGGTGGCCGAGCACGGTTCGATTCCTGAACCTGGCGACTTGAAACTCATGCTGGGTGTGTGTGCATCCATGCCCAAAATCCGAAGAGGAGAATGAAGGAGAGGGATTGCAGCATGGCCATCTCCCCTGGGGGTTGATTTCTCACTTTATCTCTCTCTGTCAATAGCAAAAAAACAAAGAACAACAAAAAATCCCTTTGTATATTTAAAAGAGTTGTTGCCCCAAATCCCTTTGGAAGGAGGAGTGTTCTGAATCAGCAACATGGGGAAGCTGAATGAGGCAGGCAGGGAAGTGGCCAGACCTCATTCTTGGCTTATCCTGGTAGATCTGGGGCCCTCCTCTAAGCCCAGCCCTGTACTAGGTTACAGTGATTGGGACAGTGGGAGGTCCACTGCTCTTGTGCTAAGTACATGCACACCCTTGTGGGGCTGAGCTGTTACCTTGACTTGGAAGGTCAGGACAAGCTCCCAGATGAGGCAGGGGAGGGTGGCCTGGGGTGATCAGCCTACCCAGGTACTCAAAGGGACACCTAGTGACCTACCCTCCCATTCCCCACAGGCTACTCTAGTCGGAGGGTTCAGAGCCCCAGCAGCAAGAGCAACGACACGCTGAGTGGCATCTCGTCCATCGAGCCCAGCAAGCACTCGGGCTCCTCCCACAGCCTGGCCTCGGTGAGGAGCTGGGAGGGCTGCTGGGTGTCCGGGGCGGCCAGGGCACCATATGGCTCAGGGTCAGTCCCTCCTGAGGTCCTGGCCCTCAGAAAGCTCTTGGACTGGCAGGGGGATGGGAAAGGAGATGCCATTCCTTCCTTCCTTCCCTCATCTGTCCGCTCGGGCTCAGAGGTCGGTACTGACCCTACTGTGCTGGGCATCAGTGGGAGAAAAGTAGGTGGGCGCAGAGGAGAGAAGATGGTCTCGGGAGATCCTTATTTCTGAAACCCATTTATTCATTCACTTATGGGATGTTGAGTAAGCACCTGTGCTGTACCAGGGTTTCTGCGAGGCTCTGGGAATATAGCGATGGACAAGACGGAGAGAAAGTTATTTTCTCCTGGGAAATGGCTTTAGTTCATCCACTCTTCTGATTATTGATGAATTCAGCGAGCACAGTGCAGGAGCTGGCTCTTATCCTGGAGGAGCCCACAGCCCGCAAGGGTGCTGGCTGGGCCCTGCCCAGTGGTGCGTTCTGCCTCTTTTATCCAAGTAGTAGAGGAGCCCCAGAGTAGAGAGCGGGTAATGCCAACCAGGAGTAGGGTTCAGAGGGGGTTCCAGAGTATGCGTTGACCTTGGCAGTTTCTGTGAGGCATCGTCGGGCACTCGAGTTTGTGGATAGGCCATTCTGAGGTCTGCCATGACCAGAGCTAGCTCAAGTGTGGTCAGGCAGTAAGGGAGGCCCCCAAGCAGTCCTGAAAGGATGTAGCAAGGCTTCACTCCTTGTCCTTCACTCTTGGCTCCCAGATGGTGGCAGTAAACTCCTCAAGCCCCATAGCTGCCTGCTCGGGACCATGGGATGCCAGAGGGGTGGAGGAGTCTGTGACCACCAGTGACGGCAATGCTGAGAGCCTCTACATGCAAGGTGTGACAGGAGGCTGGCCTCTGGGCCTGGGCTGGGGGCGGGGGTGGCAGGACGGTCTCCTCCCCTGGAGCCCTGGTAGGGCTCAAGTCACTTCTGGGTACTACTTTGCCGCCTTCCCTTCCCCTAAATCCTCCCTTTCAATGGTTTCCAGCCATTTCTGGGCAGGAGACAGGGTCCAAGGACAAACCTAGTCTGAACAAAGGCCTGAAAACTGACCAGCCCTGAAAAGTGAGCGGGACTCGGCCACACAGTCCTGCCCAGTTTTTGTCTTGGGGCCTTTCGCCTCCTCACTGTTCTGAACCCCCCTTGAGTGAGGTTGTGGGGGCCCCTCTCAATTCTCTTCCACTCATGTTTAGGCATGGAGCTTTTTGAGGAGGCTCTGCAGAAGTGGGAGCAGGCACTGAGTGTGGGCCAGAGGGGAGACAGTGGCAGCACCCCCACACCAGGGGACAACCTGCGGAACCCAGAAACTGCTTCCGAGGCCCTGTCTGAGGTAGGTGGTCTTCCCAGTGTGTGCCTTGGACAAGGTTGGCGGCTTAGCAGGGGGCAGCCCCACCTTCGCCCAGTGGTCCCTCCCCTCCTGCACTGTTGTTTCCCGGCGATGAGGGTACTATTCACGTTAAATAAAACAGTTCGTGTAACGCGCTCAGCTCAACGCACTTGATAGTGACTTGGTAAATTGAGCCATGGTGGTAACTGTACCCTGATCTCAGCTCTGTAGGGGGAGATGTGCATCCCTGTAAGACTGGAAGGAAACCGGTCCCTGTTCACAGATGATCGGATTACAGGGCCTTTGTTTTTATTTTCTATTTATATATTCTCTTTGGTTATCATCCAAGTTTCTATAGTAAGTAGTATTTAGGTATCAGCAACAAAAAGTTAAAAGGCTAAAATTAAAAATTCGGGAGGCTGGCCCTATGGCCTGTTAAGGGATTCAGATCCCACATGGCTGACTCTGCAGTTTGGATCATGCCCAGGTGGCATAGAAAAAATAATACACTGGAAACTGTGTATATGTGTATCCTAAATCCTGAAAGAATGGAGAAATGGAGAAGAGATTACGATGTGATCATGCCCCCTTAGGGGCTGCTTTTTCCCTCGCCTCTGTGTTTCTGATGAGCATATGTACCCTTTGGGGAATTTAAAAAATTAATTTTTTTTTTGGTTCTAGGGTGCATATACTTCACCAGAGAGACAAAGAAAAATAAAAAAAAGGAAATCAAAAGAAATCACTCCCCAGGAGAGATAGCTATGCCACAGTCCCTTCCCTTTTCCTCCATTCTCCTCTTGGGATTTTGATACCACACACACACTCACACACCACACTCACACACTCTCTCTCATACACTCTCATACACACACACTCTCTCATACACTCTCATACACACACACGCATACAGGCATGTTTTTCAGGCTGCCAGGTTTGAGACTCAAACCATGCAGTTGAGCATGTGGAATCCAGCCACTTTAACCTCCATGTGAATTGCTGGTCCTGTTTTATTCTTTATTCATTTCTGTTTTGGGGGGAGGAAGCCCTGATCCCCTTGAACTCTTGGCCTCTGCTGGAGTCAGGTTAAGTGGCCACTTCCTTTTTGGGGAGTAGAGTAGCAATATCTGGGATTTTGCTGGGGCATAGTTGAGGAATGGGGAAAACTTTAGGTATTAAAAATAGAGGCCCAGGGGACAGCAGGTGGTGTGATAGTTAAGGTGCTAGACTCTCACATAGCCAACTGGGATTCAAGTCCTGGACCGGACACCTTGCTTCTCTCTCTCTCTCTGGTGAGTGTATGTGCCCTGTAGCAAATTATTGGGTTGTCGGGGAAAGTCATGACACATTTTTGTATATAAAAACATAGACAAGGAACCAGCAGTTAGCATAATGGCTATGTCACTGGACTCCCATGTAGTCAGCCGTGGTTTGCGTCCCGGTGGCTTAAAACTCACGCCAAGCGCCTGTGCATGCGTGCCCAAGATCCTGAGAGGAGAATGGAGGAGAAGGGATTGCGGCGTGGCCATCCCCTCTGGGGAGTGAGTGATTTCTCGCTTTCTGTCTCTCTGTCTCTCTCTGTCTGGCGAGCACATGTGCCCTATAGCAAAAACCTCTCAAAAAAAAAAAAAATAGACAAATACATCATGATTTTCCCAACAATCTAATAAGAAAAATGATAAATTAAGTAATCCTTAAAAAATAAAATAAAATAAATGTAGGGGCTAGCAGATGACATAGTGGTTACATAACTGGACTCTCACATGTCCGACCGTGGTTTGTATCCCGGACCTGGTGAACTCATGCTGGGCACATGTGCATGCGTATCCAAGATCCCAAGAGGAGAGTGGGAGAGAAGGGATTGTGGCATGGCTATCCTCCCTGGGGGGTGATTTCTCGCTTTTCCCCTTATGGTCTGTCTTGCTCCTCCATCCACTGCTGTGTGAGCACATGTGCCCTAAGGCAAAAATCTCTTAAAAATAAAAAGTGTATGTTAAAAAATAAAATAGAGGTCCAGCCTGTGGTGGGGCAGTTAAGGCAGCTGGATCCCACATGGCTGATTGTGTTTCCTGGACCCAGGGGCCTGGGAAACACACTGGATGCATGTGCATGCTTGCCCAAACTCTCAAGGGGAGGGAGAAATGGAGAAGGGATTATGATGTGCCCATCCACCCATGGTGGGTATGGAGAGTGGCCAATCTGAGCAAACATGGTGATCTTTAGATAAGTGCAGAAACCTGCCTTGTGGTTCATGAGGTTCATTTGCATAATGATGAAAGCAATTTGCATGTGAATGTGGTAGCTGCCTGATGCTACAGAGCAGTATCTGCCTAAGGAAACCACATGTGTTTATCAGCTCTTGCCCCAAAAGATCAGAGAAACTACCTGGTGCCAGTCATTTTCAGATCTTTTACTTTCATGTTTGCTCAGATTGGCAGCTCTCCACAGGGGGATGTGTGCTTTCACACATTTCTGTCTTTCTGGTGAGCTTACAGGCCCTCTGTAAAAATGTAGCCAAACGAACAAAAATAGAGACTGTGGGGTGGGACAGTGGTAACACAGCTGGGTCCACACAGGCGAGTCATTGGTTTGTGTCCTGAGATTGCCTACATGTGTCAGGCACACACGGTGAGTCACAGTGGTCACACCATGTTGGGATGCCTGTCCTTCTGACTGTCTCTTCCTCTGTGTGTGTCTCTCTCATAGACAAAACAAACAAGCATGGGAAAACAAAGGAGTCAGCCAGAGGATTGGCTGCACGGGCGGGGAGTAAATGGGAGCATGGGGAGGAGCTATGAGTCTGGGGCATCTTGGGTAGCCAGAACCGTGGCGGGGTTGAACAGCAGGGATGTGCGCACTTTGTAGGGTGTGGGTGGGAATGCTGTCTGAGGCTGAGTGAGCAGGGAATTTCTCTGCCTACTGGCTCCACTGCCTGTGTCTCATTGACTGGGAGCCAGCTGGCAGGGGAGTCTGGGAAACGTTTTGCAGAATGAGGGTGGGGACATGCCTGGCATGACTGGTGACAAGATGAATGTGCACGTGTCCCCCGCCCCAGCTGGGGGTGTGCGTTCAGGCCTGTCACGTGGCCATGACCACTTAAGTGGTGGAGATGAAGTCAGGGACCTGCCTGAAGTGCTGCAAACCTACAGTTGTAGCTGCAGTGGGTCCTGTCTGTGAGGGTAGGTGATGGCGCCTGCCAGAGCGAGTCAAGGTGGGGATCAAGGAGGCAGCCTTGGCTCCCAATTATAGTTACTTTGAAAACGGTCCCTTAGGATTGTAAGACCGTCCTCGTTTTCCTCACTAGGGAAACAGCACGTTGTTCCTTATAGAAAGTGACAACTGCAGAACAAGGAAAGGGAGAGGCCCACCCTGTTGGGATTTTTGACACAATGGCATGTTTTCAAGTCGTTGGGGCCGGATTTGAACTGCATGTGGGACTGCATGTTGGCCATGTGGGGTTTAGCTCCCTTAACCACCAGGTCACAGGGCTAGCCTCCTACTTTCTTTCTTTCTTTTTATTTATTTATTTTAAAGAGAAATGTTTGCTATAGGGTGCGTGCACTCGCCAGAGAGACAGAGAAATAGAAAGTGAGAAATCACCCCCCAGAGAGGATGGCCGTGCCGCAATCGCTTCTCCTCTATTTTCCTCTCGGGATCTTGGGCACGCACGCACACACGTCCAGTGCGAGTTTTGAGCCAGTGGATCCAGGACTCAAACCACAGTTCGACTCCCACTGTGGGAGTCCAGTGACATAACCACTGCCGGTCCCCACTTTTTAACATTGTATTTATTCATTCATTCATTCAATTCCGTTTGTTATTATCTTTTAATTTGACCAGAGAGAGACAGAAAGAGAAAGGGAAGGTGAGAAAGCAAGCCTCCAGGTCCAGGACTTGAACCACAATTGGCCATTTGGGAATCCAGTGCCCTTAACCACCAGGCCACCTGCCAGCCCCTCCATTTTCTTTCTTTAAAAAAATTTTTTTGAGGACCAGCAGTTAGCGTAATGGCTATGTCACTGGACTCCCATGTAGTCAACTGCGGTTTGAGTCCCGGACCTGGTGGCTTAAACTCACACCGGGTATGTGTACCCGCGTGCCTAAGATCCCGAGAGGAGAATGGAGGAGAAGGGATTGTGGCATGGCCATCCCTCCTGGGGGGTGATTTCTCGCTTTCTGTCTCTCTGTCACTCTCTGTCTTTCTGGTGAGCGCACACGCCCTATAGCAAAAACCTCTCCAAAAAAAACCTTTTTTTAAATTAATTTATTTTTAATTTGCACTGGAGATACAGGGGTTAAGGAAAATGAGAAAACACCCGCCTCCCAGGAGGGATGGTATTCCGCACTCCTTTCTCTGTTCTCTGAGGGTTCTGGGCACATACATGCACTCAGTGTTTTTCAAGCCAGCAGGTCCAGGTCTTGACCCACACAGTTGGTCGTGTGAGATTCAGCACCTTAACCACTGTGCCACTGGCTAGCCCATCTTTTCACTTTCTGATGGTGTCCTTTGAAGCACAGAAGTTTTTCATTTTAGAGTCCGATATATATAGTCGTCTTTGTTGAGTATGCTTGCTTGCTTTTCTTTTTTTTTTAGAGACATTTTTGCTTTAGGGCAAATGCGTTCACTGGAAAGACAGAGAGAGACAAAGCAAGAAATCACCCCCCAGGGGGGTGGCCTTGCTGCAGTTGCTTCTCCACCATTCTCCTCCCGGGATCTTGGGCACATATGCACACGCACCTGGCATGAGTTTTAAGCAGCCGGGTCCGGAACTCAAACTGTTGTCGGCTACGTGGGAGTCCAGTTATGTAACCATTATGCTATCTGCTGGTCCCTATTTAGTGTGCTTTCTGCTTATGGAGAAGCACCTTCTGCCAGGGCTGCAGGACTCTGCGGGCCCCATGGAGCAGGCTGGGCCTGCCTGTGAACCGATCATAGTGGCCCATAGGCCTGAGGCCAGTCCCAGCCCTACCAGACGCTAGCTTGGTGATCTGGGCTACTTAACCTCCCTGGGCTTTCTCTGTGAAGTGGGATCATAGTAAGCCCTGACTCCGAGGGACACTGTGAGGTTCCCGTGGCCATCCCCCAGGGGATCCGTAAGCGCCCAGTGGGCCGCCCCCTACCAGCTCCACCAGCTCTTTCTCCCCAGTGCCCTCAGGCCTGAGTCAGCCCTTGTCTCCTCCCTGGGGCTCAGTTACATGCAAGCCACTTTGGCAGCCTCCGTGGAAAGCAGAGTCAGGCCAGTCTGGGTCTTACCCTTGGCCCAGGAGTGCCGGGAGTTCAGAGAGCAGCACCCCCTCTTCTCATTGTCCCTGCCTGGGGCCTGAAGGCAGCGACCAGGGTCTCAAGGCCCAAGGAACCTCTGCACTCCTTGGAGGGAGGTGCTGTGGCCCAGACGATGACCCACCGCTTGCCTCCGGGAAGGCCCTGTCTGGCCTCTTGCCACCTGCACCCTCCCCAGATGGCCATCGCTTCCCTGCCAGCCATGGTGACTCTTCTTGCTCCGGACCCCAAAACACAACCGGTACCATTCTCACTGCCCGCATGCAGCTAGCACTGCTCCCCGAGGCCGGTGCTGTGCTCGCTTTGCAGAACAGGCCCAGGGCTCCAGCGCTGTGCCCTCTCTCTCTCAGACACACACACACGCACGCGCCCCCCCCCCACACACACACAGAAGCACACGCAGCGGGTTCCAAGTTCGCACTTTCTGTCCTCAGCATAGCAGTAATAATCATGACGATAATTGTTATGGAGCTAACACTTACCAATTGGCACCCTGGCCAGTCTTGTAAGAAGTGCTTTGTATATCTTATCTGATTTTTTTTTTTAAAGTGTGTTTATTGGGACCAGCAGATGGCATAGTGTTTATGTCACTGGACTCCCATGCAGTGGACTGCGATTCGAGTCCTAGACCTGGCGGCCTAAACGTCATACTGGGCACACGTGCATGCATGCCTACGATCCTGAGAGGAGAGTGGAGGAGAAGGGATTATGGCATGGCCATCCTCCTGGGCAGTGATTTCTCACTTTCTGTCTCTCTGTCTCTCCAGCAACACGCACCCTATAGCAAAAACCTCTCTTGAAAAAAATTATTTATTTCAAGAGAGAGAAAGGCTCCCTTGACAAGGTCTCACACCTTCCCAGTCAGCCAGATCACAAGCATGCGTGCCCCTGGCGTGTACAGCTTGACCCAGGAACCGAACCCTGATCTTCCACATGGGCCGTACGTTGCGGAACTACCACTGCACCACACAGCTGACCCCTCATCTTGCTCAGGCTTCCTGTAAACCCCTAGAAAGCAGGCACTCTTCCCTTTGTTGTCAGATAAACTGGAGCTCCAAGTGGGGACATGGTTTCCCTGAGGGCAGTTTGAGACTGGTGGTGCCAGGATCTGAACCCAGCATGCCCTGCACCCCAGCAGTACCATCCAGTAAAACCACATGCCACAGTGGTGGTTTTCTAGTGATCAATTAAAGATCCAAAAGAACCAAGCAGAGTTCACTGTGATACACTTTAGGTAGGGGCCGGCAGGTGGAGTAGTGGTTAAGGCACTGACCTCCCACGTGGCTGACCGCGGTTTGCACGCTAGACCCAGTGGCTTGAAACTCATGCTGGGCACATGTATGTGCATGTCCAAAATCCCGAGAGGAGAATGGTAGAGAAAGATTGCGCGTGGCCATCCCCCTGGGGGATGATTTCTCGCTTTTCCTCCGTCTCTCTGGTGAGCACACACACCCTATAGGAAAAATATTTCCAAAAACAGCCAAAACACTTTAGGTAAACTGGTATATCCAAAACATGACCGTTCCAGCATGCAAACCACGTAGAGGATGACTGCGAGTTGGCGCTGCTGTGTGCCTCGTGGTCCGTGCGCTAATCTCGCGGCACTTCTCAGGTGGGATTGGCTGCCTTTCAAGTGCACCCGTAGTGGGCAGCACAGGTCCAGAGCACGTGGTCTTGGCTGCTGGGCCCCGGAGCTGGCTCCCTTGCCCCAAGGTCTGGGTGGGCCCTGGTGATGAGGGTTGGAGCTATTCATACAAGGAACTTGGAGGGGCTGGGTTGATTGATGTCATTTTTACGGCAGCCAGAGTCACAAAGAAGGGAGTTTGCAGAGAAGCTGGAGTCACTGCTGCACCGGGCTTACCACCTGCAGGAGGAGTTCGGCTCCACCTTCCCTGCGGACAGTATGCTGCTGGACCTCGGTGGGTGAGCTGGGCCTGGCAGGCAGGTGGGTAGGAACGGAGATGGGAGGAGGGGAGAGAACAGGTGTAGCTCCCTCAGCGTGTCAGACAAATGGGCCTCATCCGATCCAGTGGGGAAACCAAGGTATTCCTGTACACAGGGTAGGCAGGAGCAGAGCCAGGATAAGGCCGGGGTGCCCTGTCCCACCTGCCTGGGAGCTGGTCTCTGGGCTTGCCTCCCTGTGGTTCTTCCAGCCCTTGGTCCGAGCCCTCTGCAGAGGGCCCTGGTAGGAGGACAGCTGGCTTACATGGAGGTCAGCCAGAGCAGGCCAGACAGCCGAGGACACGGCCCTGCAGTGGCATCACCGAGAGGGATGGTCACAGCCAGAAGCCTCCTCGCGCTGGACCCTTGCTGCAGATGCCACATGCCACCCTGGGCCCTTCCGTGGGTGCTTGCAGCCCCATGGGGACATTAGACTTCCGAGAGGCCCCCTGATTCTGCAGTGGGACACTACAGCCATGTCCAACGCCCTCCCCACCTTCTCCCAACATGGCCTCTCTGTGGCTTTGCCTGTTGGAAGAATCCTGCTTCCTGTGGCAAGAAGGCTGCTGGGACCTTCAGGGCAGCCCAGCAGGGGTCTGAAGCCTTTGCTCGTTTGTTCGACAAGTCTTTCCGAAGCGCCCTTGGAGGTCCAGCCCCCGCAGCCCCTGAGCCAGCAGGAGGAGAACACCCAGCGAGTGGCCTGTGTTGGACTCCCTCAAGGGAAGCGACTTGCCCAGGCTACACAGCATAGTGCCCCCCTGGCAAAGGGCCTGGAGAGTCCCTCGCCATCCTGCTGTCCGGATCTTAGTCTGATTATCCTGTTCTCCCCAGAGAGGACCCTCATGCTGCCCCTGACTGAGGGCTCACTGCGCCTACGGGCGGACGATGAGGACAGCCTGACCTCTGAGGATTCCTTCTTCTCTGCCACCGAGGTGACACTGGGGGGATGGCCAGGCCACGGGTGAGCACTGGGCCATGGGAAGAGGGATGACATTTTCTCCAAGGAGGGCAGCATTGGTGGGGACTCTGCCAGGGTTGTGGGTCCCATGGGAGAGCAGAGGACCCACCCCCAGAGGCTGCAGTGGGCACCGACCTCTCCCTCCTCCAGGCTGCCGGCCGGTTGCCTGGCATTAGGCTCTTGCCATGGGCACGCGTCAGGCTCGGTGACCTTGTCTGGGTCGGGGCACGTGGATGTGTCCAGTAGATGGCCCTTTAGGAAGAGCCCTGGGAAGGACGGGTGCCTGTGTCTGGGGCCAGGGTTCCCTCTGATGTCCTGTCCTGGGGTCGGAGTGGCAGCCCCAAGGTGGCCCCTCCAGCGGACCCCCTCTCTGGGGATGGTACTCACACGAGCTCCACGGCTCCTCCCTCTGCACCCCCAGCTCTTTGAGTCCCTGCAGATCGGAGATTTCCCAGTGCCACTCTCCAGGCCGGCCGCCGCCTATGAGGAGGCCTTGCACCTGGTGAAGGAGGGCAGAGTGCTCTGCCGGACCCTCAGGTGAGCGGGCAGGGAGCAGGTGGTGGGCCAGCCCCTCGAGGAGGCCGAGTGCCACGGGGCCCATGCTGGCCTGTCTGGTGTACTGACAGTAACAGGACTCGGATCAGTTTGGGCTCGCTCAGTTCTCGGAGGCGTCTGGCCACAGCAGCACAGCAGGCCTTTCCTGAAGCCCAGGTCCCCACACACCTTGTAGCAGGTGTCAAGAACCCAGCTTTGGGGACTGGCAGGCCCAGCTCTTCCCCACGTTCTGCCCCTGGTAGCAGGTGGCCCTGGGAAGTGACCTAAATCTTAGCCGTTTCCTCGTCCGTGGTCATCGTCGGGTCTCGTCCTTCAGTCAGCTTTTCCAGGTGGCTTTCTGACCCTAGCTCACAGGTGGAAGGGTGTGTGTTCGCAGCTTCACCGGCCGGAAGTGGCGGAAAGTGCCGGTTGGAGCCGGGTCACTGTGATAGAGGGTGGCCAGGGTCCCTCTGCCATCCCAAGTGTTCTGCTGTCAGGGAACAGTTTGGCCATTTTGGTCCCTTGCCAGTGAGGGTTTGGGGCTGGGTGTGGCCTCAAGGCCACGGTCATTCCAGCCCCCTGACTAGATGTGCCCCAGTGCCTGGTGCCAGGGAAGTCGGCCTGTCCTCGGAGCATCTAGTCAGCCGCCGACAGTGTGTGGGAAGCCGAGGGAACCCCACCCACCCCCATGGAACACTGCCGGGCCGCAGAGGCCAGCCGGGATGGCACTGTCTGTCCTTTCCCTCAGGACGGAGCTGCTGGGCTGCTACAGTGACCAGGACTTCCTGGCCAAGCTGCATTGCGTACGGCAGGCCTTCGAGGTGGGTGTAGTCCAGGCTCGCTTGGCGAGGGTGGGGCGGGCCCAGGGGCAATCAGGCTGGCGGGGGGCCCTCGGGGGCGACGGCGT